AAATGGTATACGGCACGACATTGCGTCTGCCCGGAGAATCCTTCACAGCACGGAGCAGACCTAATTTCGGTAAATCAGACAACGTCCGTCGACTGTCTGCATTTATGTGAACGCTGTCTCCGGTGTCAACTCGAATACAACATCGACAGGTCGCTCTCCCTCGAGAGTTATCTACCTGTTCACATGTTTTTGTACGAGTAGATTCGGTACGCAAACCTTGGCAACAACCTTACGAAGGCCCTTTTCACGTGATCGCTCGTCACGAAAAGACCTTCAAGGTTGATCGATATGAACGCGTCGAGATCGTCAGCGTTGATCGTCTCAAACCAGCACACGTCGATGACAGTGCCCTATCTGGTAACCTGAGATTCAATGCTAGACCTATTAAACCTAGCGGGATCCTTAAATCTTCAGGTCCCACGCTAGATGCATCTGAGACCTCATTCTCACGTCCCGGTCAACAGCACGCGTCATCTGCACCGTCTACGGACGAGACGATAGTCTCACGTCCAGATCAGCAGACCACGCCGCCTCTGACCTCGGATGAGATTGCAGGCTCACGCGACGCGAACGAGACTGCCGTCTCACGTTCCGGTCGCCGAGTACGGTTACCCGTACGCTTCCGCGAATAGTCGCACAGCCAGCTACCGATACGGTGTAGGATTATTCCTATACTACACGTATGCTACACTCTTCTCTTTTTTGATTTTCTTTTTGTTTCCTGAGCCCACGCCTTCGACCATCTCCGTTTGGTTCCGTCGACTTCAGTCAACTTTGGCGAAAGCTGGCCTGATCACCCACGCTCTTGTCAACGTACTCAGTCGATATATTGGTTTCGAATGCTTGGCATACGCTTGGTCTCGAACTTGGTCGTTACGGTCGCTTCTGGTCTTTTGGCTCAACGTGGTTTCGTCCTTCGTCTGCAGCGTTTATGGTCCGGACCCGTACGAACGCCCTCTTCAGATTCTGGATACAAACCACTCTAGTAGCATGCCGACTCAAGCAACAAATACAGCACATCGCACCTGGTACCGTTCTCCGAAAACGACCTTCGTTGGCAACTCGACGATCAACGATCGCTTTCCTGTTCGCCAATCTTTCCGTCCTACAATCGCTCGTCAGCCGATCAGTCCCACGATTCAAACCGCTATTTATCGAAACTGTAAACCCTTTCTAGCGGGGGGCTCCTGTAGTGACTCACGTTTATCACGAGAACACGACTGGTTTAATAAAAACAATTATTATTATAACCAACTGTACCAGTGTTTGTTTTAATGTGCTTTTGTTTAACTGTGCTAATTGTAGCCATTTTGTGCTTCCATTACCTTCCATTGTTGTTCCGCGGTTTTTGGTACTGCTCGCACGTACTCCCGTTTCTGTTTTCACTTGTACCATTCCTTGGCACGATCTCGGTATTCGTTCAATACCACGAGATCGCCAACGAAATAAATCTGGTTACGATCGATCCTCGCCTTCTGATTTGTTTGTCACGTGTTTCTTGGTAGCGGTGTTCATAGTTAACCTCAACTCGACGCCACGCTACAATTGGTAATCCCAATTCGACTACAAGCCTACTAATACAGATGCAATTGGAATTCAACTCATATGGACAACATACCGGCATAATCGTTATTTGATTTCATAATTTAAACCAAAACTAATACCAATATTAACATTTCTACAATATTCATTACTTTAATATTTCTAAACACAAAATACTTACTACCTATACGTCAAGTTATTAACCACCGGCTATTAACACGCATTGTTTTATTATTATTGCTGTGATCCCATTTTTTATAGCTCAAATAATCTTCACCTAAATTGTCATTTTAAGTGTGTTAAGCATGAAGGCAGATTTTTTAAAAAATTATTACATGTATTTCCCAACCAGATGCTGCCGCCTTTTTGATTTATCTTTCAGCTTATCATTACCCGGGGGATTCTTCCTAGTCTTGGTAACCTTCGGCGCACGACGATCCCATCCAATTCGGTATCGAACCAACATCACGTTGATTCTGGTGGGAGAGTAGTGTAGTGGCATTGAACAATAACCGCACAATCTTCAAAACTGAACACAAGACTACTCAGAAAATAGATATTCAATGTTTAACACGGAGAAATACCTAACAATGGAGAAGGCGCGAACAATGAGTTGAATGGACTGGAGTTGATCGAGTGGCATGGCTCGGCCATGCAGGCGTGGTCTCTGCCGAATGTTACCTTATATCTTCTATTCATATTAAATATATTGTTCTTTCTCTAGCCTAACCTTGTTCTACATCATGTATTGGTAATTGATACGATACAGTGAATTGGTGTAGTCGATGGTGTGACTTCCACGTAAGATCTTATAGATTAGGCAGTTATATCACGACAAATCTACAAATTTAGGATTAGTTCTATTATTAGAGCAGTACTAATATCATAGTAGACCATAATTCTAGAGATTCACAATGTTTCCCACAGCCAAATCGATAACTGCATTCACAGCCGAAACAATCCTCCGAGAAAATCGAAATATTTCATCGTACAAAACAGAGAAACACCGACTCAGTAAGTATTGATAGAACGGCCTTTCTATATTATGAACCATTATACCTATTGTCAAACCTATTATCTTACGAAGGAATTACAGATTTGACACGTATCAACGGGAATTCTACACAGGCGACCAAAACGTTAGATAGGCGAAACGGATTATTCGAAAATGGTACACCTAAAGTTTTGTCTTAAGCCAAGGATGTAAAATTTTTTTGGCTTATTAAACTATGTATATTTGTTCAGATAATAAAGACGAAAAATGAAACTTGTTTGTACGCACTGTTATTGTCACACTTTAAAACAAATTAACAAAATAGTAATAGTCTCTAATAAATCTCACGCGCCCCTATTCCGATTGCTTTCTTTTGGTGTGTATGGGTCACATTGTTTCTTATAATAAATGTGTATGACTCGTTTATTCCAAACAATCCAACGACTATAAATAAATAAAATACAACACAACAGCGTGTTTGAGTCACAAATGAATGGAGAATCTTTGACTGTGATGAGTGTTGTGTATTCTGCACGTAGAGAACTATTGAAAATATTCGAAATCTAATCAGCGCTATCAATTTTTTGCCATAGTCAATATCAAATAAAAACTATAAGTAGCCATCATTTATTGTTTTCCGACATCCTCATAAAGCTTTGTTTCAAATTATCAGTCACGTAATATGATTGATTTAAGCCATGAAACTAAAAACTAAAATAGTCGATAATCTAATCAACAACTATTATCACAAATAGTGTTGTATTCTCGAATTTACCTTTACCTGACACTGATGGTTTCGATAAATTTTCAAGTCAGTTGGTTCCTTAGTAAGTGCTACGAACGTTATCAGTTTCACTAGAGGTTTGACAGCAGCCACTTAAGCAAATTATCACTAAAATCGGCCAGACAAGTCTCCTGCAAACTGAAAGTATTACTAACATATTCATTAAAACGTTGACTGGAGGTTCGGACCTTTATCATAGGAATGGTTTGAAAGTTATACTGCAATTAGCTACAGCAGGTGCATTACCCTGTAGCGGTAAATAAATCTCAAAAATAAATATCTCTGTAAGTTTTTGACATTGGATTCTGACCATATGTTTTAGTGGACTCATCTAGCTGAGGGCGCTCGGTCATGCATCCGCACCAGGTCACGTGTGGTAACGCTGTGCTCAACATCAATCTCATTCGCTAGCCAGATTAGATCAGAGAATCCCGATATATTGGTCATCGCCAAATATACTCTTCCTATCTCCTCGACTCTGTCTTTTGATTTCTCTGGGCGGGAATGAAATATATTAGAGGGTGTTACTGGTAGAAGCGTTGTCGAACACTGAATACCTGTGACATCTTCAACCTGATCAGCACTCTTTTTATCAGCATATTTGTAGTGTTTGAACGAACTAATAATACTCTTGTACTTGTTGAATGCTCGATTTCGAATTCCAAATACAATACATCCGTTTGTGCTTGAGTTTTACTTCTTAATTCAATTGCGTTATTTCTGGGACTCTTAGTTCGTGCTATAATTCAATTAATTCAAAACATTATAATATTACTATTTAATCCACTGAAAACATCGTACAGCGCATCATTATTGTTGGTACCATGTGGGCTGTATTGATTTTCAAGGTTAATTTAGAACAGAGTGAGTAGTGAATTCTATCAAATCCAACGTACAACTAGCGTTCCAATGTGGCTTGTTGCGAAACTTTGGTGTACTAACCCATTCTTTTATTTTCTTTCTCGTGTCTGAGTAAATTACGGTTAGAGAACATCGTACGAATATCCCGAGCTCACAATTTTGAGGAAAATTCAACCCATTTCGTCAAATTTTGGGGAAGCCGCTAAAGTAAACTTTGAGGAAATGGCACCGAAACACCGAAACTTCCCAAACCTAGGGACAGTCCCCAATATTTCCATAAAATTTTCACTTAATCTTGGTAAAAGTTGTAGGGCCGGCGAAATGTCATTAAGCCCTGGCCAAATCGTCTAGCGGTTGGGTCACTGAATATCGAAACGATCTTCGTTCCCTGTCAAGGTCAAGTATAAACAACGCGCATCAGTTAATTGTACCCCATCGACCGTCCTGGGCAGCGCTCCAGGGGTATCGCGACACTTTTTTGCGCTACTTTTTCATTTCTGCTTTGTGCACAACCAAATTTGGAAATACATAATGAATAAATTTGAAAGTCTATTTTCCGTTTTCATAATTAGGTAAAAAGGGGTTTTTCGATTTTGCGTTACATGGTATCGTGAAGTCCTTGAAAATTCATTATTCAGGTGCTGCTATAATAGTTTTCCGATGTTCGCTTCGCAGATTAGCAATTATTTCTACTTAGGTATACACTGATGGTCGACAAATCTTTTATTTTTATATGAAATAGGAAGATTCAGGCATATATCGTCATAAAAATTGTATTGTCGTCAAGGCTACGAAAACTGCGTTACAACTAACGATACCATGGTAAGATTTATCGTTTTTCCTATCTTTATCACAATTTCTGCTGATTTTCACTGTTTTGTTCGACTTTTATGGCAGAAATAGGTTTATAGTGAAAACATAAGGTGTCCTGAGTGTTGTAAATATTATGTATATGCTATAGATGATAATAACACATATTAAGATGTTAATATCACCTTCTACAGTTAGATATATTAGCCACCAGATGATTGTATTGCAGGAAATAAATCATAATCATGCGGTAGAGGTATAACTATGTGGAGATTCTACCAAAGACGAAGCTAAGATAGCATTACTACCTCTTGTGTAGATGTACACAAGTATTTGGCTGTACCAAAGCATGTCATTGAGATATGGTTGTGACTTTTTTCTTTTTTTAAATTCTGAATTCACGGGACGACTACCTCAATTCTCAATAGCCGTGCAATTGTTTTGATGTTGTACCTACATTTCAATAAATATTTTTCAAACAGCTTACTTTTTTACTTACATGGGAAACTGTAGAAGTGTTGAGAATGTGTGTTTGAGTGTCAGTGAACTTTTGAATAAATGCACATTCCTTATAAATAATACATCACGTGTTTCTTCTTTTGCAGATAATTTCAAATAACAATGAATTAGCAATTGCATTGGATATGCAAAACAATCGATGCTTAAGCTTCTCCTCTAGTGTTGTACAATAATACGCTTCACCTTTTAAATAAAATTTTTCAAAAACATGCCGGTCTTTCACTGTATTGCAGATTTATTTTGGTCTGTTGTTGAAAATAAAGGTGAACATAGTAGACCTTTGGGGTTATGTTAATGGATGGAGAATAGGGAGTTCTGTGTGTATTTATGCGAAAAGTAAACAATTCAGCAGACATTTAGGCGAAAAGTAAACAATTCTGCGGACAGTTAGGCGAAAATTCGGTAATTTGAGGGATATTTAGGCGAAAAGTGAGTAATTTATCGACAAAACGGCGAAAAAGGGGGAAATCCACATTATTTCCTCTGGACAGGCGAAAAATGCGACATTCTGATGTGTTTTCCCCTTTCGCTACCAAAGCATTTACCCCTTTATTTTCCCTTTTTGGGTTGTCTGGGGAGCTACAATGTTTTGGCTGCCGGTATTATTGCAAAAATACCTAATATCAGAAATAAGTACTGAAATAAAGCTGTTACGAGAAAGCACTGAAAAGTACGATTCGATAGTCAAGATATCTTGATCTAAGGTGACCAGATTGTGTGAGATCCTATGTGATGATCTTCGGAAATCAACCAAGGCCTGTCTAGCTTACGTGCTGATGCCGTAAATGACAATTACTCATAACTTACGTGGGACTAGAATAGAATATGCATCAAGAATTTCAGGTTACACAGGACGATTGAAAGTAAATTCACACAGTAGTCTTTATATAAACGTCATCTGTGTTGTACAGTCTTCAAAACATTTATAGTAGTCCACATAAGGTACTGAACACGAAGTGTGACTCCGACGTTAGCTGGTTCGTCACACCATTCCCGTCTAACTGAAGTAGGCCTCCGATCATTCGACATAAATCATCTAGACTGGTGGTTTACAAGGTCATTTGACTTGGAGGATTTCCTCAAATTACCCAAACTGTGGTGAAGGTCATTTGACTTTGTGGGTTTCCCCAAAATACCACAAACTTCGGAGACCAGGGTGAGTCTCCATTTTGGGGTTCTCCAATATTCCCCTAGAATTTACACCGATTTTAGGGGAAATATACTGCTATGTAGTATCAGAAACACTTTGCTTGTAAAACTGTCCGACAGCAAACAACTAAGTAAATGTTCCTTAAAAGATGATATATGCAACCTCAATGACATCAAAGTAGTCACACGTCATGGACGCTTGTAATAACTTATAATATGTTCATGCTTCTCCATAATTACAAGACTAACATATAATATATAATATTCTATAATAAACCGAAGTGAAAATATATTCATTTCCAGGAGCTGCTTTTTTTCATGTAGGTTACATTTAGAAACCAAACATATTTAGTTTCAACTTTCATCCGCAATGTTCTTAAGAAGCTAAATTAGTTTGCAATGCAACCAATTTAAAGTTAATATAAATACTATTTCAGTGGGATGGGTCTGCAATGACACTCCAGTAAAATAATTTTACTTAATATAATAAAGCATATAAAACCTGGCTCTTATGTTTTTCTGACTGAGTACACACAGGAAATGTCTGTAAGAAATGTATATGTGTTACAAAAGGTCATGTAAGATAATACATACGAAAATAAATTACAGTGACGTCGATGAGTACTTTTGAAACCATCTGGAAAGTGAAAATATACAGTGGTTTCTACATAAACCTATGGATGAAATATACGAACGCATATATATCTATGCAATAACGCACTTTTATTGTTTTATGTTTACGCTATTTCGGGTCACACCCTACGCTTATTTTTTTATCTGTTGCGTCTTGTAAGAAATCCTGGCTCGCAGTACCCAACGTTCATATAATATCGTTTTCCTGACTGGTAGCATTTTCGAATACGGAACACAGAACATCGGACAAAAGTGTCTGCTCTGACTTCGACTTACTGCGAGTTGTCCGGTGGAATCTCTAACCGATTGTATCCATTTTCGTTTTAGTTTCATGTGGTGTACTCACCAGTTCTGACGTCATTATGTAGACCAAAATCATCTTCATGGACTTACAAGGATTGCTCCTGGTGATCGCCGGCAGTTTTGTCATCTTTATTTCAATAAAACAATTGTTTCAACTTACGAACTGACCGCAGGGCTTTGGTCTGTGGAAATGTTTTGGGAAATATTAAGGGAAACTCAAAAATTTCCGCGATGTTTGAGGTTTTTCTCAAGATAAGTTGGAATTTCGAGGAAAAACTTCAGACCAGGGGAAAATTTAGGGGTTTTAGTTGGATTTTGTCTGAGAGTCTTAATGGGACTTCGACAAAGTTTCGAAATTCTTTCTAGCTTTGGGAGGTTGCAAGGTTTTTTCATAGAGAGATCCTTACGAAGCAACACTTCAAAACTCTTTCTTGACAAAAACGGTTTTGATGAAAACTTTTATTCATGGCTGACTCGTGCTTTTCAAACTTTTTTTAACCTATTCGATCTACTACAAAAGGCCCACCAACGACAGCCCATTCAAGTTTGACACTTGGCTTATATTCATCTCTCAGTACTTCCCATATAATCTGTTTAAAAGAAATGTAAACTTTGCATAGGCTGAACTAATCAGAGGTTATAACCAAACTCAGCTGAATAGTGTTAGGTTGTAAAAGTCGCCCAAAACAAAGGCTTCATTTCTTAGTGCCAGAATGACATTGTGAAATAAAGTCGGAAATTTGATCTCGGAGTATGTAATTAACTATGATCTTAAATAAAAAAGTAATTGAGATTGTGATTTTTGATTGAAAGGCATAACTAATTCCGTACCTAGCAGCTTCATGTTTCGCCAACTGCGCTGTATTCGTTTTGTGATTTCTATCTAAAATAACGTCAGTCTCATGAAAAGTAGTTTTTTCTTTGGGACTTCCACTGGCTTTTTCGGGGTGTCCGCAAAATTTCAGCAAAGTTGTGATTTTGCTTATGTAAACTAAAGAAGTCAGAATTCAGTGCTGTCGTTTGCAATTTTCCCTAATTTATCGAGATTTCAGCCCAAAAGTGGAATTTTATACAACACTATCCGGGAACTTCAACGTATATTAAAGACATATCTTCGATATGTTTATTTTCAAGATACTTTACAAAATATCGTGAAAACGGATGTTTTTCAAGATATAGATGTTATCTCTTAGTTTTGAAAATTATCAGGATCTAATGAATGTTAACATATCTTCAGGAATGGTTTCATGCCATTTAATCATTGAATAGTGTACCACGTCTTCAGTTTCTAATATGAAATAATGTGATCGAGTTGCTTCTCTACCAGTTATTGTTTAGTTTAGGTTTCACCTTTCATTTTAATATATTATTTGTCTTCTTTGATACTTGTGCGCACTATATATTTTCAACTCCTAGATTAACCACCAGGTTTTATAAAATCCATATTATTCTACTTAATGTTATTTTAATTTCAGCAAATTCGTTTTTATCTTGTGTTTATGGAATATAGGTAGTTATGTTAAGATTGTTAGACAGTTACTGCGTCAAAACATTACCACCAAATATTCTTTATATACCAAATTTTATAAATGAAGAAGAAGAACAAGAACTACTAAAACATATTTATTCTGCCCCATTACCGAAGTGGGTTTCTCTACGTGGTAGACGCTTACAAAATTGGGGTGGTATTCCTCATGTTAAAGGAATGTTAGTTGAAAACGTTCCACAGGTTTTTTAATTCATATGAATGAGTTAACAATTTAGTCTATTTAGTGGCTACAGAAGTACATGGATCGTGTTTCTGAATTGTGTTTATTTGATAATAACAACAATAATAAGGCGAATCATGTTTTGGTGAATGAATATGAACCAGGACAAGGTATATTTGTAAGTGAATGTTTTTACTTAATCTCATTATTAAAACATGAAAATTACGTCCATCATTGATTTTGATTGTTTCCCTCAAAATCCTCTGTAAATTTTATTTCATCTGTCTTCTTGATTATTTACGGCCTAATATTGATAAAAATCAATCACATAATAGCATTCGCATTCATTATTTACTTTTTAAGCGTTCACTTACCATGTGCGATTGCTGTCGTATGAAATCTTGACACGTATTCAGAAAGCTCAGTTGCCTTTTGCCAACTTTTCCCACCCGTGGCGTGGGCTAGATGATTCTTCAACTGATGTGGTTGGGTGTTATGTATGCCTAACCACCAACTACGTTGATGGGCGACGTTGTATGATATGAGAGAAGGCTGGAAATCTGTCCGTGGTTAAACAAAAACGTACCATTGGTCTGTAAAATATTTGACTGTTGAACTGACCCATGTAAATCGGTGTAGATTACATGGTTGGGGTTCGCCCAATTATCGTAATCACTGGTCAGACCCTGAATTGTTCACAATGGCATAAAAACATTTACTTTTTCTCTTTAGCTACTGGATCCCGAAGTCTTATACCGTTTTGTTTCTTTTTTTGAAATGTTAATATGAGTAACGTGATGATCTTATTCCTCGAGATATATAGTGAAGCATTTAAATATTCACCAAAATAAATGAAATGTTAGTTGTCTGGTTCATGTTTTTTAATTCTAATGGACAGCGTTTGACAATACAATGCCAATATAGAATTGACTTACAAGACAGCATATTTAACATAGATTGTTACTAAATATCATGATGGCAGTTCTTAAGTGATTGTAAGCCTGATAAGTTCAAATCGTATCATCTTATATATAGCTATTCAGAGAATAGACTCTAATTTTCCTTGTTCTTTTATCATATGGCCTAATAAATGCCATTCTTGGGTTTATCTGGGTAAAGTAACATAATATATGTAAACACATATGTTTCTAGTCGTTCTAGATTCTGAGTCAGTTTTATATTTAGACTTAAACTTAGCCTGTTTTGCAGCAAGTTCAACTAATAACGTGATTTTAGAGATTAAATACGAAATGCGTTGGATATTTCATACTCTGCACACACTAATCGGCAATAAGAAAGATGAATGTCGACGAATCGTACAGTATGCGAATTTTAACTTGAGAGCTGAATCTTATGTTATTTGGATTGGTCGGAAAATCGATCAGCTTGCCAATTAGTTATTTGATTTACAAAACCAAATAATGGATAGGATAAATAAATAGATGGACGAATATATCCAATACATATGCATAATGATGTTTTTGTAATATCACAATAATCATGACACAACTTTAAACTTAGGTTTAATTCAGTTACTTATTTCCTTTAAAGAAGTACTTTAGGTCACGAAACGTGATATCCATTTCTAAGAGTGCATACACTTAATTGATGGGCCCAAAGTTACATTGTATAACATATTTCCGACCTAGTAATAAGCTATTCAGTTTCTGTTTTACGATTTTGGCCACCTTTAAGTTATAATTAAGTTAAGCAAAGTTGGATTATGACTTTTTCTTGGGTACTAGTTAAACTTCACACTATCCATATATTCAACCTGATTAAATTTCTTTTGCTTTTGTTCCGAAGGTGAGACTTACTCCAGTAAATCAATGTTTACAAAGTTACTGATATCACTGTGTTGAATTTAATTTTTCATGTTTTTAAAATTAATTCCAATAGCCTCATCATGATGGACCACTTTACTATCCTGTTGTTGCTACAATCAATCTGAATTCTTATGGAATTCTGGACTTTTATGAGCCGTTAGATACTTCTGCAGACCCAGTAACTATTTATGTTAGTATAATCGTATTTTCCTATAGCAAACAAAGTCAACGTTATTTAATGATCGTTATATTGGTTCAGTTTATTTGAAACCTCGTAGCTTAAATATTGTTACTGAAAAAATGTATACACATTATATGCATGGGATTACTGAACGTACAACTGACTTATTAATAAATTATGAAGATTGTTTGAAACGTCCTGAGGAATCGGTTGAATATGCTGCTATTATTCATAATTGGACTGCTAGCGATTTGGGAAGTATTCACTCACAGTTATGTCATCGTGGTAAACGTGTTTCAGTAACTATACGCTATGTGCCCAATGTGAGTAAGATCAACTGGAATAATTTATTATGCAGAAGTTAAACTGTTTCCACTTTATTTACTAATACAACTGTTGTTAATTACATCGCTTGTGATGAATTCTTATTTCACATCATAAGGAATCCGTATGGATCCACATTTTTAAATGCATTCAATGAAAACGTAGGACCTGGGGTCAATTTGTATTGGTCCAAGTTACCACACTTTACATTAGCATAGCTTTATGAAGTTACTAGGATAAATGGCATGGTAGTCGAAGTAATGTTAGTATATTTTATTATGAAAAAGACTAAGCAAAGGAAATATAATTCAAAAAATAGCAGTGATTTGGTGGGCATAAAGTGTGAAATAATATTATTACTCATGATGTAGGAGCATATAAAGAATGAGTGGATCTGTGTTAATGCAGCTGATTGTATGGCATATCGCTGAACGGCTAATTAGTAACACCACTCTGAGCCTAATCTCTCGACAGGCTTCAGTCTAACACTCAGTGGCTTCATCTACTGATTCTTAGTCTTAATTTGGTCACTACTAGTTTTCTCATACCAGGAAATCTGTAGATAGGGATAGGCGATGGTTGGTATTAAGTACTGTGTAACAATTGCCTTGTTTTATAAACGTACACAACTTCGTGAATCTCACTATTAATCAGTTGGTGATCTCATCTGCGAGTAATGCCTTGAAGGGTTTTATAACTGGGTATTAAAAACTTACGTTTGTTATGTACCTCTTAGGTCAGGTATTAGCTGTATAGTAATTTTATAACCCAATTACTTCACTTCCTGTGGTTAGGCCATGTATAAGTACTGACCAATCGTAAAATAACAATTTACATTTAAAGAGACCGAAACAAATCCTAACCATTGTTGTTTTGTTAATTAAGAATTTTAAAGGTCTTTGGACTGTTTCATCGCTCTCATCAAACAGGACTTCGTTATCTACATGTTCAAATAGAGCTTCAATCGATGATATGCAGTGTTATAGTGTGACTAAGTGATGGTTGTTCACAAGACCAAATTAGTGACACAAGTTATTTAGTAACTTGAGGTCAAGTACAAGGCACCACCATGAAGAATTCTTTTAATGCAATAAAATGATGTACCTATGTACAAAATTTACTTATTTGAACACATAAATATTGGTACAAGAGGGCACCAAATATATATGCGCCACACAAAACAATCAGAATTCGAAGGAAAAAAGTACAATAACGAACAGATTAGTGTAAGGTAGTGTAATAATAATGTGCAAAATATTAATACGAGAAATAAGTTGACGTTGGTGGTTGAAGGAAATCAGTTCGTAGGCCACTTACTATTCGACCAATAAAGTTATGAGCATCGGGCTCAATTCTTGCCAGTCGTGTTACCTGAAGTTTATGGTCAGTGGTTTACAGAATATTTACTGTTCCTTTAGTCAAATCTACCATCGTCGTATATCGTTGAATTCTCTTTAGATACTTCTCTTGACTACATGTTAACTGCTTTTAGCAAGGGGGGTTCCTGTATTCTTCTAGTAAGTTAGATGGTGACACAGCATATTGACATGACTCCCGATTTTAGTTGGATATCTCTCGATTACTTGGTCAATCCTAGAAATCTTGAATATTCTCAGCAGAACACTGGAGTCTGACAGTTAAAGATTTCTCAAATGATTCAATCATATGAAGAAAGAAATGACCCAATGTTTTCCGCTAAGTTGTTCCATCAGATTTTACCATTGGAGAAGTTCGATATTTAGGCTTGAGAAAGTAAAAAGATTATTAAGACGTCGATTATCGTCGAACAATCACTAAGTATTTAAGATCCGAACTGACTTCTCCCAACTTATCTTAATCATGGCTCTGTAGTTTTTGTAGACGAGTGTTCATTCTTTGGCTTTTTTGCACCAGAATTCTGACAATACAAAAGTTTTTTAAATGTTAGGTTCTCCGCTATTGGTATTCCAACGAATTATTTCGAATAAATTCATCAAAATGGATACCTATCCAAAGAGCACTACGGTTTCATTAAAAGTTTCAGTCTACTAATACTAAATCAGTAGTCAGTCGACTCTTTAAAAATAATCCACATTCCTAATTCATACTCTTCGTAGCGATAACAATATTAACATGCGTGTGAGAAAAAGTCATCTTTGAGAGGTTAGTTTTACTATAAGGGACGAATTACAAGATACGTTTTAATGAAATTTTTACTGGAGACAGATAGAAGATGGGCTTGTTTTGCGTAGTGAGTCCTAGGGCTTGTGAATAGTATCTATACACAACTCTTCTAGTGCGCACCGTAGATTCTTACTGTTGCAATTTAATATTTTTTCTGTGTAACTTAGCTTTCCGTACATTTGTGTTCGCAATGTCCCTTCATTTACTTTACTTATTGAAGCATCCAAGAATGGAATTTTATTTTGGGATTCTTCTTTTCTTGTAAATTTTATATCATCAGAGATGTTTTTAATCAAATTATAAACATTTTCAAGTAAAATTCTTTGGGATAAATGTTTTATTTATGTAGCGTATCCAAATATTTGGTCTAATTATCAGTAGAACCATACAGTCTTGAGTCTATGATTCGATTATAAAAACACGTTCACTAATTGTTGGATGTATATCGAATATCTTATAAATGTTCCAGTCAATTTTATATTCACCACTTTCGGTTTTTCAGTCGAATTTCTTCGTTCAGATCTACTAGTGCTTATCTCAAACTTATAGTGCATGGGAGTTGTAGTGTAACCAAATAATCATTATCTTCACTTACATATGCGACTAATTATTCCTAGTGTTGAGATACTGGAGAAGATTTGTACAACACGGTAGAGCTAAATATTGTCGTATACTGACTATTCGATTACTTACTTGTATGAATTAAATACAACCAAGACTCCTCTATCCGTCCTCTCCATAATTAATTGTACTTCTACGCTGGCAAATCCGATGTGAAGCCAAGCTCTTATTGTATCATATAAACGAAGCTCCCATCTATAAAGTACGTACTCAAATTTTACCTTCAATTCACCAAATGTTATCTATTTTAGGTGTTTAGTAAATCAGTGTTGTGTATATCATGAAACTACTTGGTACTTATGTAAAGTTACCTAATTTGTCTTAAAACAAAGTGGATTGATTAATATATGAGCACTGAGTATTTTCTTGACGTTATCGAATATTTAGGCTTTTCTGAAAGACGACCTGATGTAGAGGCAATAAATGGGTCATATGATTATTTCTTTGTTAATCATCTATCAAATACGAATTCTATCATCATGTAGCTATTTTCACTTTAAATTTTCTACATATCTTTGTATACTTATGCTACTTTAAACTAATTTCATTTTCTGACCCGTTAGTATATTGTTTCATATCCATTCTTTGGGCTCTTATGTTAATAAGTCGGTTTTCATAAGTATTTATCATTCTACTGTACCAATCATGTCGAATCAAGCAATCAATCTGTTCAATCAATTTAATCGTTTTTTTTTCATCACAGAAGAAAAACTTTTATGGTTTAATATTAGATGGATTGGTACTTATTTATTTACAATCTTTTATTCACTATATTAATCTAATTATCAACCTAGTTGCCAACTTATTAGTTTGATAAAATACGATGTACCATCAATAAGTTTGACAAGTCGGAATTAAATTATGACAATCCATCATGAAATCATCTATAGGTTACAATTCTTGATTACGTAATGACTGATTTGTTAAGGTTAATTTTCTTTTTAAGGTCAATTGTCAAAATTACTAAATGTCACTATAATGTTAAGAGTTAATATTTGGATTAGTGCATTACAATAGTGTTTTTAATCACTTAGTTTTAATTTAGTAGGTTGTACTAATGTACTAATGATATAATTTCCAACATCTGAATATCTTGGTAATTAAATTGAAGAATCTATAAATAGAGAACACAGGTAAGTTTTTCTATGTACCATTATATTCTTATATTGAATATAATGCCTACATTCAATTTGATAGGTCTGTTGATGTAAAATGCTTTTCAACTATTTAGAAAAGATCATTATTTACAAGATAAGTGAAACATTCTAATCATTACAAATCAGTGTATGTTTAATGCATTGAATTATAAATTTAATAACATATACGGTCTTATAGATATCATTACCAAGGTTTGATTTGATAATTTCGAATAAATTGAGCATTGGGTAGATTGTTATAAATAAAACGAATATGTTTGGAATATCTCAATGAGTAGAAAAATTAGATTTTCTGACGTTTCGTGACTTGGTGTAAGCCACTTCTTCAGATAATAAATAACCAAATTGATAATATTCATGTTGTTCCGTTGTATTATTTAAACTTGGATTAATTTTAATTTGGTTATTTATTCTCTGAAGAAGTGGCTTGCACTAAGTCACGAAACATCAGAAAATCTAATAATTTTTCTACTGATTGGGATATTACAAATATAATATTTATTTATATACAGTCTTAGTTTAAGTAATGAAAAATTACATTCTTGATACAAGATATAAAGGTCTTCGTTCAATATCATGTCTTGACTTAAGTTTGTGCAGCTGATGAATCTCAAACTAAAATGGAAATAATAATCTGTTATATCCTGGTTTTCAATAGTTCTGCAGTGTGTCATTGTTGATTATAAGTGCATAACTGTTTATGTATGGAATTTTATTTTCATGCGGTATGGCAACTTGGACAGATGCATATATGTGCCTGGTCTAACGCTGTAGCTGACTGACTTTTTATACCCTAATATATAGTTGTATACTTATTCTTCTGAAATGCATATAGTTGAGTTTTACGATTCGGTGGTACGATGAAATTATCAGTTTGTTAACTTTGAATATTTTAATGTTTTATTAAATTGTTTAAGATGTCAATGATAGAACTGATGTTACTGCTTGGGGAAATAGCTTCCAAATCACTGAAAGAAATCTTCAACAAATCACACGACATAAAGTTATTTTGAAGAAATACTGTCTTATTATTATTTGCGTAATTTTTAGTTACATCA